GTTTTAAAATTTTAAAGAGCCCAATTTACGTTTTTATCCAAAAATTGGGGTTAACTAAAATTTTTGAAAATTTGAGAGGTTTAATGAGAATTTTTAGAAATTATGAAAGATGTTTAATTAAGATCATTTAAAAATTTGAAAGCTTAATACGGATTTCTAATAATTATGTAGGACCAAATTAATATTTTAAAAGTTTTAAGGATCTAAAATTAAAATTTTCAATTTTTTTAAAAAATTTAAGGGTCTAAAATTAAAATTTTCAAAATTTTAAGGGCCATGCCCCTCGATGTTCTACTGTTGCATCCTACCATCACAAAAAAGAACTAAATAAGGACAAAGAACAATCCAATATTGAGAAGCCATGACTTATACAAAGGAAAACAAGACTAAAGGTTGGCATCGCAAGAAATTGAGATCGGAACCGAGTAAACAGTTAAATATCTAGTTCGTGTAATAAATTCATGAAAAACGAAAAATTCAATACATGTCCAGACAAACACAAAAAGAAAATAATTGAAGAAAACTTGTACCGAAAATCTAAAGGCATTAGTAACCATGATATCTTATATCAAAGAAAGGTCCGAGAAAAAAATATTATAATAAATATATTAAAATATAACTAAAAATAACAAAAAACGAAACAATTGACTGAAAAATGAAAAAGAACCAAGGTAGTGGCCGGGCAAAGCCACCACCAGCGCTGCTCTCAACGCCAAAAACTGGTGGTAACCATTGAATGTTGCTTAATACTGCATTGTGCATGTAGAGTTATAGTGGACATCTTTATATTTTGTAAAAAAAAGTGAGGGACGCAGCATTTTCTCTTGTAAGTTCAGTTTTCTTTTTCACATTATTTGTGTACTCTTCTTACTCTCCCAAATAATGGTAATAAACACCTTAACCCTACTCTTAAGCCAGATTGATCCAGAACACGAGGGTTATAAGATTGACGGCACTGGTGGATAGGGGTGTTAAAAAATACTCGATTCGATTCACCTGATCCGTTGACTCATCTACTCGAATTTTAAAAAAAGGGTAATTTTCTAATAAAAAGTTACCTGACCAGGTCGAGTACCAGACCATTGATTTTTTTCAGGTAGTTGGGTCGGGTCTAGACCGATTTTTTATAATCGGCTACCCACCCGACCCAATAGTATATATATATAGTTTAAATTATGTTTTTTATTTTAGGTTATTTAATATTATTACCTTAAAACTAAATTTAAATCCCTCATTTTTCTTAGATTTGTATTATGTACTTTAAAGTTTCAAATTTTACAAAAAGTTTTTATTAATTGTCAATATGAGATTCGAAAAAAATCATGATCGATATTAATACTTTTTTTTTTGGAAATAACTTTAATATATATATATATATATATATATCCAAATATTTATCCTTAAAACTTCAAATCACTTATTTTTATGTACGGATTATGTATAATGAACTTTTAATTTTTATGTATTTTCTATGTGATTTTAAAAAATTAAATTAAAAAAAATTAAAAATTGATGAAATGGCTAACAGTGACCTGAAAATGCAGGTAGCTGACTACCGGATACCCTGACTTAACGGGTTGTGTCATGAGCCGAGAAATATACTAACTTGAAAATCGGGTACCCAAAAATGCGGGTACCATATTTTGAACACCCCTACTGGAGAATGCATGTACATCTCAGGGTCTAAATTTTTTTATACTAGTTGTTTATTTTACTGAAGGTGTCCACCCTATAATTTAAATTTCTTTATATTAGTTGTTCACTTTACTGAAGGTGTCCACCCTGACATTTTATTTGTGTCTACTTCATACAATTTTTTTTTATTAATTATATGTATGTCTCCACCTAAAAAAATATTTATGAATTTGTCAGTGATTGATGGACCTTTGTTGAAAAATGTTTTTGGATATATTTGTGGAAATTGGGACGGGGCAAATGGACTACTATGAGAATGACTTTGAGGCCACTATGCTAAAAGATAGAAGATATGCCATTGATGCCTCAATTGTGCTACACTTGTTAGTACACATAGTTATAAGATAATATTTGTTCAATTTTTTTAGTTAATTAATAAAGTACACGTATTTTCTAGACGCAGTTATTCAAAAATAAACTTTAAATAGATTTTACAAGTTTCATTAGAATTTTAAGTTGCAGAAATATTTAAAAATATCTGTCTGATTTAAACCCGTATTTTATGTGTTTATGTTATTATGTAGGTTGTTCCTTCATTGTACAATGCAATACACGTCAACGATCAAACACTACTAACCTAGGAGTGTAGAAACTATTAATGTGATTTGTTAATTTTGGAAAATATCTTCCCTCGTCTAATTCTGAAATCATTGTAGAGAAACTAATACTGGATTATGGGTTACATAATTAGGGTTGATTAGTGGTGTTTATCATCAGCAATGTTAATGATAACTTCAACTTTTTTATATTTACTACTAGAATATGTCTTTTTCGAATACATATTTGATGCAAGAACACAATGTAATTAACGTGATTCTTATTTGAAGCTTAATTAATGGTGGATTTTAGCATTCATTAAGGTTGATGGTAGTGGAATGTCCACCGAAAACAATATCACCAAGGAAGCTTTTTTTTTTCAGCCTATGAAAATGGAACTTGTTTCTCCCCATGCTTTGCACCAGGGGCAGTTTCAATGAGATTCAATGTATTTGCTTCACAAGTATGGTGAAATCGAAATTAAACCCCTAATATTAATATAATAATCAATTAAATATTTCAAGTGGATAACATATTACACCATTATCATGACGTAAACTAAAATGAAGTTTTTTAAGTTTTTCAGATGAATAAAACATAAAGATGAATTCATAAATTTATATTATGAACGAACTTATAAAATTTTAAAAATAAAATATATTATTAATAAAAAATATAAATTTTTAAAGTTTTTAAAATTTAAAACATATTTTTAATAAAAAAATTAAAATACAAGAGAATTTAAAAAATTTAACAGACCACTGCTCTGCCCCTCCCCGTACTAACTTTCCTTGTTGCCTTCAAACTTTCAATTTCTCCCCTTACCAGTGAAATTAAGTGCTTACTTTTTCAGTCCTTTTTTCTAAACCAAACTGTTCATATAATCATTTGTTTTTTTGACACACTGCAAAGCCTGCAACTTTTCCTCTAAGTCGTCCAAAGCTTATTTTTTTCATGGGGACCCCCAACTGCTGATATCATTTCCCTCAAACTCGGCCAAATTGTCGAGATATTGTTGTGGGAAAAAATTCCCGAGATAAGACATATCAGGGATTGCAACTTTTCCTCTAAGTCATCCAAAAGCTTATTTTTTTTTCATGGGGGCCCCAACTGCTGATATCATTTCCCTCAAACTCGGCCAAATTGTCGAGATATTGTTGTGGGGGAAAAAATTCCCGAGATAAGACATATCGAAAATTATTTTCTCAATGAAATCTATAATAATAATAATGTAAAGATTCGATGATTGCATGGTGTCTTTAGGTCAAACGTAAAGATTTCAGGAGTGTACGACATCTTTAGATCAGGGAGAAACATTCTATCTGCATGGCCTGAAGATGTATTGCACTCCTGAAATTTTTACGTTTAGCCTAAAGATACCGTGTATTCTTGGGAAAAAATTACCGAGATAAGGTATTTCGGGAATTATTTTCCCATCTAGGGTGAAATCTACAGTAATAACATAAAAATCCGATGATTTCATAGTGTCTTTAGGCCAAACGTAAAGACTCGAGGAGTGCACGACGTCTTTAGGTCAGGGAGAGACAATCTACCTCTATGGCCGAAAGACACCTTGCACTCCTAGAGTTTTTACGTTTAGCCTAAAGATGCCGTGCACTCTTGGAGTCTTATCCATTGGCCTGAAGACGTCGTGCACTCACGTTTAGCCTGAAGACACCATGCAATCATCGGATCTTTGTGTTATTACTGTAGATTTTACCCTATATGGAAAAATAATTCCCGATATACCTTATCTCGGGGAATTTTCCCCCCACAATATCTTAGCCATTTCCCCCTCAAACTCTATCCACTTAACACACTTTCTTTGATTTATTTTGCAAAAGTAGATTGTTTAGAGAATACCATAAACTTGCTCAAACATTATACTTAGATTATACCATTTTGTAAAAGTCGGTATGCAAAGTGTTTGTGGTTTTGTTTATGCACTTATTTCCATAGTTCAGTATGCAGATTTTGGTCAACTGTAATTTGGCTCAGGTTTCAATATGCAGCCATAACATAGGATTCGGATTTCATTTCATCTCTTGAAGATGGCTATGGCTGGATAATGTAAACGAACTAACCGATTCGAATTCCGGTTGACGGAGATTTGTGCTTAGTCTTCACTCTTCACTGCTTCTTAACTATGCCTACAAGCTTTGTCAGCCTACCTCACATCATATGTCATATGAATGTGTAATGTGCATTCTGCTTTGTGCTCTATTTTGGTGTTAGAAACTGTGTCACTTCAGCTTAGAAGTCATCCACCACAACTTGCTAGAAATAGTTGCATATAAAAATTATTGTGTGTGGGCTCTCCTGTCTTTTCTACTAATAAAAAAAGGTTACTCTTTTCCCTTGAACAATGGAAGACCCCATGTTGTCGTGTTAGATTTGTTGTTTGATTCCTTCACAGCTATGGTTTCCCTTGTTTCTTTGCTCATTAGGAATCTGATGAGAGAAAACAGTAAAAGTGGCCTTTTTTTTCTGCTTTAGTTATTATGGTTGTTTTCATAACTTGATCCTGATTATACACTTTTGATCATGTATTTGAACTTGTATTCCATTATTAGAGATTACTCTAGTGGACTAACATTGTTACACGAAATGCTGATGTGACAGTTGATCAATGTTAAGTCTCTTACGTGACCGCATTACTTTGTTCGACGGAAATAAAGTTCGGGTATTTTTTTTCTTTAGATACCGAAGTCATTATTGTTTTCGAGCAAGGTGTGTAGACAAAACATAGTGTGACAAGAAAGCTTTACAAAGCAAAGACCCCACAAGCTTCCATAAGCTGATATGCACATGAGAGAAACTTTGTTACAGAAGAGACATCTAAATAGCACAAGTAGTTATCTAAGTGGGGAGACCAAAGTGGAGCCCTTGTTAATTTGATGTATTGGATTGGATCTTTGCAAATCCAGGGTTCTTTTGCCTTGCAACTTGTTGGTTACGTAATGTTTATTGTACTCTCCATGATTGTATCTTCTGTATCTGCATGGATTCTTCTCATCCACCAGTTCTGGCATCGGACTGAGTTCGATGTCGTAGCTCGGAGCATAGAAAGTGACGATGGAAAGGCGGTCATTTTCTTTGTGAGTTACTGCTCTATGCTCCACGCTCTTGTATTTTCCATTTGTAAGAACCTGTACAAAATAAATTTCAAAACTGAGATTTGAACATTGTTCATAACAGGTGAATATGAGCCGGAACCGCAGTCTGGGATCCGAGTTTCTTACTTCTAAACTGTCACCGATGTTGACCACGAGTGCATTCGGAACAGGCTGAACAGGTAACCATGTTTGGTCCTTGAGGATTTGAAGACCAACTGTGCTCTCTTTGCCCTGCTGCAATACTGTAAGGGCACTTCCATCTGAATGTGGACTAAGGCCTAAAACAAGGTCTGGTCTCGAACATGGAGGGTAGTAGTTCATCCTTACTGCTTGAACAGCTACTCCGAACATTTCTTCGAAAATCTCCCCTTTTAATCCAAGGCTCACTGCTATATATTGCAGAATAACCTTGCAGAGTTCTCTGATTTCTCTTGAATACATTTCTAAAATTTCTCTGAAAAGGAAAAAAGATTTAGAAAGGTGTTACGTCTTTACTTCAAGGTTCATACATGGTCTTATCTGTGATTACCTGAAGTTAGCCGGACTCGATGGCCAGAGTTTCGGGTTCCTTATACAAGGTGGCTCAACACCAAGAGCAAACATATTGCACCAATCCAACTTCTGGTTCTCTGAGAACACGAAAGCTTGACCGTAGCCCTGAACCGTCCCCGGTGCCATCGGATACTTCTGTTTCTCATGTAAAGGTAACATGAAGAAATCTTTTGCTAGTTTTTCCATGTTTTCAAGAACATTCAGATCAACCCCATGATTCAGCACCTGAAATGCATTCATAGGTTGCATAATTATTTTTCACAAAGACATCTAGCATGAAAATTACGCATTTTTAGCACCTGAAAAAATCCCCATTCTTCACAGGCAGTTTTGAGCTTCATAACTTCACTGAAGTGTTCATCTGTGTCTCCTTTCATGAGCTTAGAAAGATCTATGATGGGAATGTCAGTAGACGATGATAGATTTGCAGTAAGTTTCGGCCTATCAGCCATGTCTTGGACAAATCTTTCAGGAACTGTGGTTTGTTTAGCCTTGTTTAGTTCTTGGACATCGTCGATATGCCCGACTTTAATCGGAAAACTAGACACCGGAGCCATGAAACAGAAATGAATACTGGTATAAAAAATCTTATGTAATCAGATTAAATTGGAAGCTCTTCTCTTAGAGCCTGTATTTATAGATGGAGAAAATCTGTAATTGTGCATTACATTATTGCAGTGTCAAGGTCAGTTGTGGGGCTAACAGTTGCTTGATTTAGTTTTTGAACTCTACACTTGCTAGATGCCACCTTTCACAGCTGCTTAGTGATGAACACGCATCCAAAAATTAGAGCTCTTGTGCTACTCTTTAAAATAAGTTCTTATATTATTTTATAATAAAACAAAATTATAAAACGAGGCTTTTAAAATAAGACCCAAAAATATATTTTTTCTCGTTAGAAATTATAATTTTAGTGGTTGATTACAATTCATTTATTGTATTTTTTTAGGAAGAAAGGATGATAATTCATTTATTCATATAATAAATGAAAAAAATTAAAAGAACTTTTTTAATCTTATCATGATAATTAATAAAAGAATGATAGAAAATTTTTTGGAAAGATATTTTTTATTAGCAGATTTTTTTCTTAAGTATGGGGCCCTAAAATTTTAGGATCCTATGATATATCACATCCTACATATGTAAAAAGATAAGTATGTGATGAACAAAACTCGACTCGATCAAATAGTTATTCATACCGATAGTTGTGAAGATACTAAATTTTTTTTATCCATATTATTATTATTAATATTATTATTATTATTATTATTATTATTATTATTATCATTATTATTATTAAATATATTAAAAAATAATAATTACAGGCCCAATTACAATTGGACCGGCCCAGTTACAAACCAACTAGAATCGGTCCAAATCCAACCATAAACCCTAAATATTTGGGTTTCCAGTTAGGGTTTCCTAACCCTAATCTAGCCAGCCGCCATCTTCAATCTCAACCGTTGGATCTGGTTTGATCCAACGGTCTACCATTTGCCAGAGGAAACCCTAGGGTATCTATACCCTAGGGACACGTCCCAGCGCCGCCGCTGCTGCTTCCAGAAGCCCTCACCGCCTCCGCCGCTGCCACGTCTCGAATGATGCTTCCAGAAGATCAACGCCAGCCGTCCATGTAAGGCTACGGGGTGAGTCACCACTGGTAGTCCGGTGACTCACCGAAGCCCCCTCTTCGGACCGGTCTGAGACGAACACCGGTGGTGGCTATAAAAGCCACCCCCCACCTGTGAAGAAAAAAAAAAAAGGAAGAGGGACAGAAAACAGGTACAGAGACAGAACCAAAAAGAAAAAAAAAAGGAAAATAGGGAGAGATATAAAACTACCAACGATCCCAACAGAGCAAAAACAAAAAAAAAACAGAAGGAAAAAGAGAGGAGAGAAGCTTACCAAGGAAGCCTTGACCGTCGCCGGAAACACTGAACATCGCCGGAGAACCGAAAAAACCGAAGGTATATTTATAGATCTGCTCCGATTGGGAGCCATTTAAAGAAAAAGAACATCGGAACCGTCCTTAGGACGGTCCGATCTATTCAATAGTATAAAAATAAATTTTCCGGCCACCGGATGTGGTGGCCGGCGGTGACATTCACGGCGGCACACGGTGGCCGACCAGTGACCGGCTTCCCTCCGATGAGGGAAGGTAGAGAGAAGGCAGAGAGTTTTAAAACTCTCTCTGCTAGAGAGAGAAAAAAAAAAGAAATGAAATGGTTGGCCCTTCGGGCCAGCCGGTTTGGACCATTTATAGTCCTTCCCGAACGACGTCGTTTCGGGAAGGACTATGCGCGTAATTATGAAATAGTTAAATCCCGTCCGCAGTCCTCCGAACTTGTAAACTTTACATTTTAGTCACTAAATTAAATTTATAATATTTTTAATTCAGTCTTCGAATTTTAATTTCTTTTATTTTAGTCCTTCATATTAAAATAATATATTTAGGATAAATTACAGATTTAATCCCTTAATTTTAATAAATAATATTTTAATCCCTAGTTTATATTTTTAATTTATTTGATTCTAATATCCGAATTTTAGATAATTTTATTTTAGTCACCAAATAAATAAAATAAGGAAATAACATATTAAATCCCTATAATTTTGATTAATTATGAATTAGATTCTTAATTTTATTTTTATTATAATTTAGTCAGTTATTTTATATGTTTTCATTTATTTTATTGTTTTTAAATATATTGTTTTAGTAGTATTTGTATTTTTATTTTATTATATTGTTAAATATTTTTATATTCATAAATATATAATAAATAGTAATTTTTAAATATTTATTTTTAATATCGAAGAAAAGGACAGTCTTAATACAACTGGATGTTCTATTCTGATATTTTAAAATTAAAAAGTAAACAATATTATTTAAATTAATATTTATCAATATCAAAGAAAAGAGCTGTCTTAAGGCATCTAGAAGTTCTTTTCGGATATTTTTAAATAAATAAATATTTTTTTATAATTTTGAAATAATAGAATTATAAATTAAATATATTTTTGAATTTTTAAAATTTTAATAATAGAGACAATTTATAATTAAAAAGTACCAATTTTGGGCGTTGTAGGGGTGCTAATCCTTCCCTAAACGTAACCGACCACGAATCCCTTTTTATTATTAAAAAGAATGAATTTTTGGTTATAAACGCAGATCAGTTTATTTTTTTTAATTGGTGTTTTATTAAAACTCTTTTAAAAAAATAATTTTTAGGTATTCGACCTACCTGACCCAAAAGGCCGATGGCGACTCCCAAATTATTTTCAAAATTATTTATTAACATTAATTTCCCCGCCAAATTTTAATATTTCGTACCCGGACGAAAACCGGTTACGACAGCTTGGCGGCTCCGCTGGGGACTGGTCAAACTTTTAAAAATCAATTATGAATTGTCTCTATAAATTAAAAATTAAAAATTCATATATTTAATTTTTAATTTTATTTTTTCAAAATTTTTATATTTACTTATTATTTTCATAATATTTATCTGTTTTATTTTATTTGTAATTATTTTATTTCATTATTTATTTTACTGTCAAAGGTTTGAGCATTTCTCCTCACACACAAACACTTGCATTGCATAACATAAAGCTCTATAATTGAGTTGTCCCTTTTAAGTGGGGGTGAAAGCGACGTCTTCGTGAGAATTTATTCTCCGTGTCAGACCTAGCAAGTAACTTCCGGGGTTCATATGCTCTATGTCTTCGTGAGAATTTATTCTCCGTGTCAGATATAGAGAAATGTATCCCCTCGAATTGAACTCGATCCACTTTAGTCTGTGATGGACTAGGGTTGAGGGTTAGCAGCCTAAGGGGGCACTAACATGGACAATTCGAGTACCTTTACTCCTAGATCTGAAACCCTGCATATAAAAAACCTTAGAAACTCTTCCAATCCGAAGTCATGCCGAAATTTTGTCCAAAATAGATGTACACACAGGAGAAATGAATTCTGTCTTTCCTGTTAATTTATTTATTGTTTAAATTACATGTTTATTTAAATTATTTAAATTTAGAAAAGCATGTTTAAATTAAATAAATGTTATTATTGAATTTTTTATGTAAACTAATTTATTTTTTTTGTGTGTTCTTTATTTTTCTGTTTGCATTGCATCATACAGGATAAAAGACATTGATCCTTGTGTTAATTGTCTCATTGGAAAGCCTTCATCTATGGATAAAAAGTGTTCAAATCAAATAATTCTGAACTCAGAAGTAAGACAGTGGGCTGAGGATTTACAAAGACAAGGAGGAGATAGTCTGCAGGATGATTATGTATCTGACTTGGCCAGTTATGCTTCAGTTTCACTAAAAAGAAATGATATGCAAGATTTGCGAAGCATTTGGGAAAGTTGGGATTCAAACAAAAAATTGCAGTTTTATCAGACTTACGGAGACATCCCATATCTGCTCTATGTAGAAGTTGATGATGAATTACTCCGAGCCCTAGTTCAATTCTGGAATCCAGGGTACAATTGCTTCACTTTCAATAAGGAGGACTTGGTCCCTAATATTGAAGAATACACAACTCTGCTACATATCGAAGAGGCGTTGGAGAATCGAATCTATTCAAAGTCAATTAAAACTCAACCTTTTCGAGTTAAATTAGCAAAGATTGCCGGGGTACGAGAAGAATGGGTAGCAGCCCGTACAAAACAAAAAGGCGAAAGTGAAGGCATTGCTTGGACCAACATCAGAGAGCTTATTCAGAGTCATCCAGACGCTAAAGTACGATTCGATCTATTTGCTCTGGGTATATATGGTATGGTCATCTTCCCAAAAGTATTGGGATATGTTGAAGCTGCAGTGGTAGACTTGTTTGAACAGCTACCGAAGAAGATTAATCCTGTTTCTGCCATCCTAGCAGAGACCTTCAGATCGTTAAATGCTTGCAGAAGGCTAGGAGGTGGACGATTCTCAGGGTGTACTCAGTTGTTATATGTTTGGATCCGTAGTCATTTCTGGAGAACAGAAAAGATTTCATACCGACGTTTTAATACGGATTATTCACCATTAAAGGAATTTTTGGAGCAGGAATGGCCTAAAGAAATTAAGAAAGATATGTGGATTAATGCCTTTCGAAATCTGCAAAGCAATGACGTTATTTGGCGAGCCCCATGGCAAATACAAAGGGAATTCATTTACAAATGTGGTGATTACAACTGGATAATGTTGCTCGGATTATGGGGAGGAATTGGATATGCACCACTTCTGGTTATAAGACAGTATGAAGGTCGTCAATTTGTACCTGTCACTGCTGGACTACAGTCATCTGAATTCGCATTCCACAGCAAAAATTATAAAAGAAATATCATGGAAGCCGTTACAGCTTGGAAAACAACTTTTTGTATTCGAGCTAAAGCAGCAAAAGAAATGCTAACTCCTGATTATGAAGATTGGAGATCTGTCAGAAAAAACGAAAATATTCCTCTACCAGATCAAAATGAGGATATTTCTATGGAAGATCGCATTAAGGTGGTTCCATCAGAGATTGAAATCTTGAGAGCTGAGTTTAAAGCAGAAAGATATGGCTGGTCGAAAGAGTTAGAGCAAATGAGACAAGATA